TAAAGATAGCTTGTCATTGGAAGATGTCTGATATGCTCATAACACTAGAAAGATTAGGCATAAGGTGTACGAATCTGGTACAAGTGGTCAAGCATCGGGGTTTTCTGTTACAGGTGGAAAGGAAATGAAGAAATCTGGTAAAGTTAATTCAAAAAGAAACTTTAATTTTAAGGGTCCCGGTCCATAGCCAAGTGATGCTTGCCACATTTGTAAGGCAGTGGGGGCATTGGAAGTACAACTGCCCTAGAAAAAGAGGGTGCTACTAGCAAAGTAGCAATAGTGACACATTATGACTTGGTGCTCGAGCAGCTAGTTGTGAAGATAGCTTTCCTACATGGAGAGTTGGAGGAAGAAATTTACATGACTCAACGAGAAGGATTTCAGGTTCCAGGAAAAGAAGACTATGTTTGTAAGCTGAAGAAGTCCTTGTATGGACTTGAGACATCTCCGAAGAAGTGGCACAAGAGGTTTAACAGTTACATGCTTGAGCTAGGCTACAACAGAATTCCTTATGATTATTGTGTATATCACAGCAAGGCAGTGGATGGTTCGATGATATATCTGGTTCTATATGTGGATGATATGCTCATAGCTGCGAGGTCAAAGTCTGATATCTAGAGGTTAAAGGGGTTTCTCAATGTTGAGTTTGAGATGAAGGATTTGGGAGCTGCTCAGAAGATTTTGAATATGGAGATTTATAGGGATAGAAAGAAGAAGAAGCTTTTCTTGTTATAGAAGAGCTACATCCAGAATATATTGTCCAGATTTGGCATGTCTTCAGCAACGCCCTTGACTACTCCTAGTGTTCCGAATGTTCATTTATCCTCAGTTTATGCACCACAATCAGAGGCTGAGAAGGAGTCCATGTCGAGAGTCCCATATACTAGTGCAGTTGGTAGTTTGATGTACACTATGATATGCACTAGACTTAATCTTGCAAATGTTGTTAGTGTTGTGAGCAGGTTCATGATACAACTTGGGAAGGAGAATTGGCAGGCTGTGAAGAGGATCTTCCAGTATTTTAAGGGTACATCTGATGTGGGGTTTAGCTTTGAAAGTGATACGAAGTGCTTAGTGGCTGGTTATTGACTCACTCCTACTGTCACTCTAGAAAATGGCCAAGTGTAACCACTTCCTAAAGCGTAGTATAGCGGGTTTGGGTTTTAATGTCAACCCGGGTCCTAGATTTGATGACTACTCGGTGAATTCTTGTTATCTAGCAGTGAAACTTTAGTGCAAGTCCAAATTAACAAACAAACAAAGTAAGTTAACGGTTGTTTTCAAGTCGAGAGAGGTCACCCGGATATGGTTCCCCCTAGACTGCAGTTAAGCCGGATTGCAATTTACCAAGTTCAGTTTTCATGAAAGTTATACTGCGGAAGGTTCTTAAACAGTATGAAGTCTCGACTAAAGGTCTCCAGACCCTCTCAATCTGAGTCTCCAGCGGGCGACTAACCTCCACCGGAGTAAACAGATTGAGGCCCTAACGAACCAAACCTCCACTACCGAAGTAAATTCGGTACAGAATAATGAATTGGCTCCTCGACTAAAGTCGCCAATTCACTACCTTCAACTAAGGGTGCTCTATCAACCTGGGCAGATATTCTCTTTCTAGGTTAAAGCAGAAACAACAGGAATTTGATCAGGATTCAAGTCATTCAATCATTCATGCCTTAATCGAATATAATCAAATCATAAAATCTGTACTTGGGTTCATACAATCAGACCTAACACACAAATCTAGGGTTCTCCATACCCAGATGAATAGGAAAAACTACTCCATGGAGAGAGAAGCAAAAGCAGATTCAGATGCGGAAATCATACTGTGAAGGATGGATTTCTGCTCCTGGTCGTCAATCGGCACTTCTCCAAGCTCAAGCCGGGCTCCAATGGTGATGAAGATCAAGCTAGGGCACTTGGGAACTCTGATTCGTCGCTTTCTCTCTCTAGGAATCGCTTTGTCTCTCTAAAACTCGGAACCCCTTTCTCCTTTGGCTCAAATCTGCCTAAAAACCCGATTCTGGGCGAATTACGGGCTGAATTATGGTCGTAATTCTTCCATGCCCGTATTTTGCCCAAAACACGCGTTTTGGTTAAGTTTCAGCGCACCCAAAGCTCCTCTCGGCAGTGAAAATACGGGCATGGGAGGGGAAATTACGGTCGTAATTCTCATGCCCGTAATTCTTCCTCCGCTCCTGTTCAAAGCTTCGTTTCTCCCTCGTCCGGACTCCAAATCAGTCGCCATTTGAACCCAGACGCTCGTAGTCTCGTCCTATTTCTTTTCATAACAAACTTCCATGATAATTTGTCCATAAAGTAAGGTAGAAATCTATTACTCTTCAGGTCATGCCCGAGTTTCTTCTCCCGAATCGCCAATTGATCTCTGATTGACTTGAAACTTACGCCTACGCTTCACTTTATGTGCTAGGGCCTGAAATGTGACAAAGGAACACAACCTAGCGTAAAATAGGCCAAAGAAACGATTATGAAAGCTTAAACGATCAAGAAACAAATGGGAAAACATGTGCAAATATCGAGTCATCAGTTATTCAGATTCTGACTATGCTGGAGATGTTGACACAAGGAGATCAATGACCGGTTATGTATTCACATTTACTACCCATTTTGGTCTATGTAACACATACGTGGGTAATAAATGTGAACTCTGCCTTGTGTCGTGTACTAGTCTCAACTATCATCGTAAAGGAAACCACATGAATCTCGTGTCTCGTGTTCGCGTTCTTCCTTGATTGATCGTATAATTGAGATGGTATCAGAGCATCGCATTTTCTCGTCAGCTTTAGGGCTTGTCTCTCTGGTTTCTTGCATCGTTATGGAGAACTCTAAGGGTAACACGATTTCCATACGCTTCACGGGTAAGAACTATGATCTTTGGGCTTTTCAGTTCAGCTTCATGTTCCAGGTCGTCGATTATTGTCTTTTCTCGATGGTTCGGCTCCGGAACCTGCTGCGGACGCTATGACCAAAGTCAAAGAAGACTGGGTGGCCTCTACTGCCACTGTTATGACTTGGTTGCTGGGCTCGATGGATAGGGTATTGCCTTGAGTTTGATGGGCTTCTCTACAGCGGCAGATATGTGCCAGCACCTCGCCAATCTCTATTCTAATCCCAGGCCTCCAGCAAATTCGATATTGAGTGTGATCTCGACGGTCTAACGCAGGGGGATTCTCATATAAGTAATGCATTTAAAAGCGTGATTCTACCTAGAAGCATTTTGGTGGCCTAAAAGGGTAAAATCGTAAGATTTAAAGCGCGATTTTGACTACATTTGTTGAAGTTAGGCAATGCTGATGCCTTTGGTGAAGATATCGGTCGGTTGATGGGTTGTGGTGATCTAGCGGGGAGCAATGTGATTGGCGATCACCCTTTCACGGACAAAGTAACAATCCATTTCAACATTCTTAGTTTGCTCGTGGAAGACACAATTGGCCAGAATATGTAACACAACTTGATTGTCACAGTAAAGCGGTGTCGCGGAAAACATAGGAAACCCAAGTTTCACAAGTAACCAGCAAAGCCAGACTAACTCACTAACAGTGGTAGACATTGCCCGATATTCAGCCTCTGCCGATGAGCAAGCAACAACAAATTGTTTCTTAGTGCGCCAAGAAACTAGGGTGCCACCATGATGAATAAAATACCCGGTAGTGGACCGACGAGTGAGTGGGCAACCTTTCCAGTCAGCATCGCAATAACTTGTGAGAATCAACGAGGAATCAGATGGGAAGAAGAGACCACGACCAGGAGATTGCTTCAATTATCTCAAAACATGAACGAGTGCGTCAACATGCGCCTGTGTGGGAGCATGGCAGTCTGACTGCGAATATTAACTACATATTGAATATCCGGACAAGTGACAGTGAGATAGAGAAATCACCCAACAAGCTGGCGATAGCTAGAAGGATTACTAGCTGGTGAAGATGGAAGACAACCCAACTAATGATTGACCTCAATAGGAGTGAGACAAGGCCGAGTAGCCTCTAAACCGCAATCTGCAAAGATGTCCAACACGTATTTATGCTGATTAAGAACACGACCTTTCTTGGAACGAGCAACTTCAATAAACTTGTTGAATAAACCCAACGTCATTGCCTAAAAGGATGGCGTCGTCCACGTAAATTAAGGCCTCTACAAAACTAGAAACCGATCGATGATGGAACAACCAGTGATCTGCCCAACTTTTTACGAAGCCAAAACCCAACTAGGCTTGATAGAATTTTTTATACCAGCTCCGGGAGGCTTGACGTAGGCAACTTCCTCAGTAAGATCCTCATGTAAAGATGCATTGTTGACATCGAGTTGATGAAGGAACCAACCTTGGCTAACGGCCATAGCAAGAAGACAATGAATAGTGACTAACTTGGCGACGAGAGCATAAGAACCATGATAGTCGACTCCCTCTATCTGAGTGAACCCCTTTGCGACTAATTGCGCCTTGAACCGTTCAACTAACCCATCTAGCAAATGCTTGGCTTTGTTAGCACCTTCGGTTGTGAAAACCCTCAGCAGTGGCAACCTTTGCAGGCGCTTAGTTTGGACATCTAATTCAATAGCGACACAAAAGAGAGTAAAAGAGGAGAAGAATCAGAGGGAATACGAAAGTGAGAGATTCTTTTCCTTACCTTTTCTGATGTGTGGATGACGCAAGGAAGTGAGACAATTTTGGGTCCTAAGATTCGCCTTATTACACTAGTTTTGTAAATCTATCCAATAACTAAATTAATTGTTATAATTGAATTAAAATAATTGAATTAAAATAATTGAATTAAAATAATTGAAATATGAAAAGCAAAATATCAAATAGTTAACAAATACGTACATGAGATGTTCGTAATGAGTTTCAGTTGAGAGATGTTCGTAACGAGACTCGAGGGGACTGCGGTGGTACCAACATGCGTTCTATCCATCCATGCAGCATATCACTTTCAAGAATACCCAAAAGAAGCCACAGAAACGCATAAACATAAGTGCAGAATGAAAAACTCCCGAGACACGATTAAAGATCATCTGAAGTTCTGCATATCACTACCAATTACCAGGTTAAACAAAAATGATTCCGTTCTCCTTAATGGTGTCGATAACAATCCCAAGCTTGCCCTCAATCCTCTCGTTCTTTCTCGGTTCGTAAGACATTACATATACATCGGCTTCTTTTGATCTCTCTGCTATGAGCTCACCAATAAGTCTGCAGGCACTGTGATCCGTAAGGGAGGGTAAACTGTTCCTAAGCTCCTTGGAGTTTGTGGTAGCAACAGATATTACTTTGCTTGTCCCCCGGTGCATCACTTTGGCATGGACAAATCTCTTCGAAAAGAAAACGTTTAGTAAGAAGGGCCTCATGTACATGTCAGTCCTCTGTTTCCATGACTTCTTGTTTGGTTGCTTTGCCAGCTCACCACGAGATCGCCTGGTCCACGCAGCTCGAACGAAAGGACTGCGTGAATTCTGCAACACGAGAGGGCTTTATAATGCAGAATACATGGCTGAAACTTGAGTATATCTTGTCCTAGCAAACAGGAATTCAGTAGATGACAGGAAAGATGAATGAAACGTAGTCGACAGGCAACAGCAACGGTCAAGAGGAAGGGGAACAACATACCACAACACTAGTATCCTAGGATGCCTAACAGTATTGAAATGCATAGCAAGAAAAGTTAATGTTCCTAAATGAAAGTTGAGAAACTAGTCTCTTCATGGGGACACACACTAATCCTGCTTAAAGCACTTCTTACTCAAGAGCAGTGTGCACTTAATAAACAATGTTGCTTACAACATCTCTTGTTCAGCAGAATTGGTTCAACAAAAGGTCCCAACTCCCAACACACTCCAAACCTTACTAAGCCGACGTGCTGCGTAGAAGACGTGCAAACAGGAATATCGACTTCTTACGGATAACAGTCATCCCTCATCATATTGGACAAAGCTTGCAAGACAGGGACAGCTGAGAGACAGCTTCAAGCTACTCTATGCATAGAATGATTTGAACTGCCATCTAAAGCTCATTGGACAAGTGGAATCTAGAATTGAAATTGCAAGATTGATTCAAGTCTCAAGTCCCCTGGACACAGTTCATCAATGACCATCATCAGATATTCTATCATTAACAAGTTCCTTACTAGAATCCAGAAATGGAGGAACAAGTTTTTGGATAGGGCTTAAGAAATAAAAATAAGGGCTCGTTGCATACATCCAGGGTTGCCACAACAGTTCAACATTGTTAGATAAATTGAAAGCTTAGGATGCACCCCCGAGTCCAGATTGCCGAACTGAGTCGCGGAGTTCCCCAATTATGCTCAACAACCAGGAAAAATCAAACCGTGCAAATATCCCCAAAGCATCACTGCTACGCGGAAGCGCAGGTTCGAATTTAAACTAGGAAAAAGCAGAGAACAACCAACTTCCCCAGAATCTTAGTTTTAGCATTCTTATTTATACCAGGAGTAGAGATTGTGTACCTTGTTATTGGAAGAAGGCGAGGGCTGTACCAGTGGTTCGCTACCGACGGCCAAGTTCAGAGTAGGAAAAGAAGAAACCCAAGAGAGGGAAATGGGTTTGAGCCGGCCAGCAGATGTATGCAGCGACAAGTCGGCAGAGATCACCACCGGCGTGGCCGCCGGTGCAAAGGCACAGGCAGATATAACCCACGACATCCAGTCTTTGTTGAGTAGATAGTAGATACTAGACAGAGACGCCGCCGCTAAGAGTTTTTAAGGGGGATTTCTCCGGTGACTCCAGTAGTCCAGTGAAACGCGAGTAAGTGCGTGTTCTCTTAAAATATTTTAATTGGGGGTTTTGATAATAAAAAGAGAAAGGGTTAAGAGATTTGGTGGGGGTGAGGGTTAATGGTATGATAGTTTTAGTTTGAATATATATGAAAAAGTCTTTCGTGAAGATTATTACTATAGAAATTAATATATAAAAGTTTAGATTGTAATTTACTATTTATTAGTGGCTCTCACACTTCTCTAAGTACAGGTAGAGGAGTTCCAACTCTCAATTCTACAACCTTTTTGTTGAGCATAATCACAATTGAACCCAAACACAAATCATCGCCTTTGGCCTTTGCCAATCATTTTGCAACCCATCTTAAAATACTGTCGGCGAACTTCTAAGTTGTTCCCTACCACCGTTTCCCAAGACCGCTACCACAAGTTTTATATCGGGATCGAGTTTCATCTTGTTTAGTGTTTTTTTTTTTTTGTTGTTGAGCATTATCATAATTGAACCCAAACACATGAGTGTTCGCTAGGTTTAAATCTATTGTCCATTGTGTTTCCCATAACAATTATTGCCTACTAGGTTTTCAACTCGCTATTGCAGCAACCAATGTAGTCAAAAGCGAGTTTCTACGTAGAAATGTTTTGGTGATCTAGAAGGTTAAAATCATAAGTTTTTATGTTTTAAAGCGGAGTTCTAACTACATAAGTTATAAAAACTAAGATTTTGCGTAGAAGCGTCTTAGTGAACTAGAAACGTAAAATCGTAAGTTTTTAAGTTTTAAAGCGCGATTTTGACTACATTGCCAACAACTATCCACTTTTCACAACATTTCGCAATCCGGCTCGAAACACTGTCGGTGAAATCCTGAGTTGCTCTCTTACACCGTTTGCCATGGTCGCGACCAAAGACAATACTAGATATGCTCTGTCCAATCATCAACAATGCTCACCAATTCATAACCTTCTCTAAGCACTGTCAACGGAATCCTAAGCTGTCCCCTTCCACCGTTTTCCAATGCCGTTACCATATCTACTAAATGTTGGTGAGTTTGGTAAAAGGATCGAGTTTCGTCCGCTTTAGTGTTTTTCTTTTACTTTTCCTTTTTTGTTGAGCATGATCACAATTGAATCCAAATCAATGGGTATCCAATCTAATTCAATCAGGTCAAAGCGACTTGAAACCGATTTTAGCATTTATAAATTTCTTTTTTTTCTTCTTCTTATGGTTGGGAAAAAAATTGAACCTGAATCTAAGGTATTGACGAGTGTTGTGAGCGAGCTTTATCTGCTTTTGTAGGTGGCAGGTTGGACCAAGTGTTAATTTGTTAAAAAATTATTCAAGCGAGTTGAACACGTTAACGTTAGGGATGTTCAACTATTATTTCTGGTGACTAGGGAGTTCAGAACGCCTTGATCAGTTTTTCTGGAGAACGACACATCCCTCTAGGCAATTGACTCAAGAAGGCCTTGACTTCTTTAGTCGAGATTTAAGGTCTAGTCAAGGATTCTCCGCATTGTGAATGAAAGTGAAACAAGTTAGAGATCATCAATCATTAATCTGGCTAGTGACTATGGGGAATCATACCTAAGTGTGTTCCCAACCTATAATTAGTAGTCTAACCTAGTTTAACTTGTAGAGTAGTTTAGTTAATCAAACCTCATTATGATTTGCTAGATAATGAACGAAAGCTGAGTAATAGTACATCTAGAGACCCGAGGATTCGATATTTATTACTTGGACCACTATACTGCAGTCCATTTCATTGGTTACACTTGGTCATTGTTAGGAGTTGTGTTTTAGCGAGTCACTCTCCCTTCTTTCTTTTTCTCCCAAAAAGTTGAAAACACCAAAATTTTCCACTTCCTTCTTTTCCTATAAACCAAAGTATCCAAACTCCCCCTTATTTCTTTCTCTTCTTTCTTTTATTAAAAATACATAATTTCAACTCAATATAATTTTTTTAAACTTTCCTTTATAAAATGAAAAACCAGTTTTACTTAGTCTTACAACAAACAAACTTCATTTGAAAATTTATATAATATACAATATAGTAATTATTTGGGTCAATCGGGCGGGTTACGGGTTAGTCGGGTTCGGGCCAATCGGGTTTGGGTCAATCAGGTTCGGGTTAATCGGATTGAGAGTTATTCTGGTTATGGGTTAATCGGGTCACGGGTCAATCGGGTTGCGGGTTGGGCAGGTTGCGGGACATTGACTTTTAGTCAATTTGGGTTGCGGTCGGGTTGCTGGTCGGGTTAGTCGGGTCGGTTTCTGTTTTGACACCTATAGCGGTAACTCTACCTAAGCAGGATTGGCAGACCCAACTTCTAGGTTCAACGAGCAAACGAAGTTGTGAATGATGGTCCGACATTGTCAAATTATTCAAAGTCCATTCTCAGGATGCGACAATGTCCAAAATAAGGGTAAACCTAAATATGAAAGGTTTTAATGGTTTCTAAGTTTGACACGTGATGTGATCAAATAGTGTATTTTCGGAATACATGTTTAGAAATCACCTATGTGAGTGTGAAGTGGAGCCGCTTCAAGGAAAATAAAAGAAGGTATGTTCTCTTAGCACTCATGAGAGCAAGCGGTGTTTAAGGCTTAAACGAACACAACTATGAGAACTAGTGAACATATAAGAGTTAGTTGTGTGACATATGTTGTCTTAGTATACAAGCAAAACCGACGGTTCAAAGATATCACATCTACCGGTTGGTGAGTATACTTGATATATGTTCACTAAGGAAGGTTCAAAGGGAAACCCACATATCCCCATGCAACTAAATCTTAGTAAAAAATCAAACAGTTCTGCATAGTTTTCAAAACTTAGCATTCAGTTTTCATGTGGGGGATTGTTGGGATGTTGAATGGTGTGAATGAGAATGAAATGTGAATGAGCCAAGAGAAGCTCTTGAAATACCATATTGGTTATATATGGGAAGGAGTCCTTAGATTCGGTTAATTGATTTGATTAAATATTTTGGTAATTGGTCAAATTGGTTTGTGTAAACAACCAGACCAACCAATTTGAACCAAACCAATGTGGCGGTAGGAGTGAACCAACCGGTCCAACTAACATGGACCGAACGGATGCAATGATTTATAATTTTAAAACGAACCAATGCGTTGGTTGGGTTGTAATCACCCATCCGAAGGGTCACATCCCTTCACTCACATCCATTCATAAACTATAAATAACACCTATCCCCTATGCCAAAGCCCAAATTATTTTTTTGCATTGTTTTCAAAAGAAAAATCGAGTCAAGTGTGGTTCTCGTCCTCTTTCTGCGTTCCTTGATTTTCGGGGTTTGAGGTACCGCTACGCCAAAAAGGTATGTCCTTTCTATCATGGAAGGAATCATTCCATAACCTTGGATTCTAGAGGGGAATAAGATTTCTTAATGAGAGACAGTGTATTATGTCTGCTAGGACGTTGTATATGTGTTTGCATGATTTCATTTGTATTAATTTCACAATTTTGTTTGTTACTTGTATTACAAAAATTAGTATACGTGAACAAAATTTGCAGTATCATATTTGACCACTATCCCTCATCTCTCTTAACTATATAAGCAGATGACCGGATTGACAACCTCGTAGCCCTTAATTTATTCCAAGAATTGAGAATATAAATTCAAAAAATGGTTGGAAATTGGCAAATTGGAATCAAACAAGGAATGAATGTGTGAGAAAGAAGAAGCCAAAAGAAGAGGCGAGCGAGAAAAGACAGAGCAATGCAGTAGTTGTAGTTCACGGGCATGCTTTCATTAATTAATTAATTAATGAAAATGAATTGTACCCCCCGCCCATTTCTCCACACTCCTCTTTTCCCCACCGTCAGCACCGCCAAATCCAATCCAAACCAACCCACCGTTCCTTCTCTCTCTCTCTCTCTCTCTCTCTCTCTCTCTCTCTCTCTCTCTCTCTCTCTCTCTCTCTCTCTCCTTGTTTGGCTTCCATCTCCCACCCCCAACTAGACAAATATGTGTTGGTGGCGAGCGTTGGTGGCGGCGGCGGTGGCGGCGGCGTTTTGTGTTGGAACAGGAACAGGAACAGCAGTGAATGTGGTGTCGAAGGTGGAGGATGCAGCTAACTTCCACATCTACTACGGCCAGACCTTCAAAGTCATCAAGAATGTCATTGACGCCAAGAGCTACCTTCTCATCCAGGTCCCCAATTACCATTTCATTTCACTAATTAGATTTATCCATCAGCTACATAGTTAATTAAGTAATTAATTGGTCAGATCAGATCAGATCAGATTGGAGTATAATTTTGTGGTTTCTTTTTCTTTTCTTGGGTTGGGTTGGGTGGACAGAATAACTCGAGGATGGCCGCTACGAGGACAAAGTACTGCACCCAAAGGATCCGATCTTTTGTGGTTCCTTTCTCAAACTTCTCCGCTGATACTTACTTCTTCCCTGGTAATTAATTAAGTACTGCTCTTCCCCAAATTCCAAATCATCAACAACAACTAATTATATATATATATATATATATATATTGATCTCATTTTGATCCGTTGCTAAAAAAATGTTCCACTGTGGGAGTAGCCTTTTTCGATTTCCCCCCTCTTTTAGACCAATATCGACATCATAAATCGTTCTATCTTCTTCTCATCACTTTCATACATTTTTTTGTTTTGCTTTTGCAGTATCCTATTTCGAGGTAAAGTTATTCAAAAGTTCCAGTATGCTGCTTTCCTCCAATAAGTATTTTTTGTTCACTAGCTGCAAAAAAAGCATGTTGTCTACGGAAAAGTTCTCATGGTGCGTAGGTTATCAGTACTATAAAAATAATGATTGTTTTATTATGATAAAGATGACTCAGAATAATTTTCTCAAATATTTTATAGTCATTCTGTAAGGCTAGAGCAAGGTTTACTATATATATAGATAACTAGTTGTTGTTTCTCCAAAAAAAAAAAAAGATAACTAGTTGTTTACCCGACTCGTTGGCCAAATAATTTTATTTTATTATTTATATTAATTAATTTATCTATATGTTTAGAACATTTTTAATCTTCAAATTTTTATGCTTACACTTCATAAATGAGTATGTGATATGTCTAGATAAAAAATTCTCAACTTAGCATGCTCACCTATGATGCTTTGATTCTCTAATCATAAATCATATTGTGAAGGTTTATCATGTCTCATTTAGAATAGTATACAAAGATTTGACAACCAAAGTGCTCAAATTTATTATCTTATAAAACATATAACAATTCATGATTCTCGAGATAGGACAAAACTCTTAACCAATTATCAAGAGTTCAGATTATTAGATAAATATACTTGAATACTGGGATTGTGTTAATTTCACTTGACACACACCGTACCTTACGATGATCAAATTCTCTAACCTTGCCTCATTTTCATGTGAATGTTCGTGAAGTCTCAGCTAACCATATTATGTTAAAATTTATCTGTCAAGAGACTCAAATTTAGTATCTTAGATAATAGAGTAAATACATTTTATTTCCCAAAGCTTTCAAACTTTTCAAATTATCAACCAAACTTTTCAAAATGCAAAGTATTAGCCAGACGTTAACTCTCCGTTAGCATTTTTGTTAGTAATTTTGACTCAACAATATTATCATGATTTGGAAGAGACACGTGACAGTCTATATTCCAATTTATTATTTTATTAAAAAATGAGTTACAAATTATTACTTATAACACACAGATGATTAATATTTTGATGTGATACAAAATATTTGGATATTCTTTTGTATTTTTAATGGTTTGGCTAATAATTTAAATTTTTTGAAAGCTTTAGCTATTAAACTTTATTTACTTAATATGTATCAATTGTTTTTCTTGAAGTTTGGATAAACCCTCAGTCAATGGTTGTTGTTTATATGTTGGCTTAGAATCTCAAACCAAAAAACTCTTGCACACTATCAAAGATTCTCTTCTTAACATGGTCTTTTAGTGTATAATTTTCCAGCTTTTTAATGTGCATTTGTAAAATTTTCCTTAATGTTTGTGTTAGTTTTGGAACAAAATTTTTCATTATATATCTTAATAATTAATAAAGCATGTCTACACTAAACATAGATTTATTTGCATTAAAAACTTTGTATTATTTGAACAATTAAATTTTTATTTTTGGAAGATTTTATTTTTATTAAAATTTAAAACTCATGTCATATAACACTTGTACATCGTCAAGTTTCTATCCAGACCTTTTGCTATACAATACTTGTTTTATTTTTTAGATATATACATTAGATATAAGAGAGTGTTTAATAGCAAAATATAAAATAATATAGTTCACTTTTGAAAGTGGATTATCTAACAATTGTTTTCTCTCTTCCCATTGTTATATTTGTTCAGTTGAAAAAATTATATTAATATTTATGTATGTGTTTGTTTAAAATTTCCAAAAAAATGTAACCTATTATTAAGTTTAGTAAAAATAAGTGGAAAATTTACTTGATAAAGTTTAATAAGATATTTTGATTTAAACAAATACAATATGTATCACTCTACAAATATCGATATAATATAAAAAAAACAAACATGAATTATAGAAGAAAAGAAGAAAGAATCATTAAAAGAAGAGAGAGATAACATAAATAAATCATTAACAAAATTTTTATGTTTGTAAGAAAATTGTCCACCTTGGCAACTTGTGAACTCTTCAAGTGCTTATGTGGCAAAAAGTTGCTTTTGAACAACTAGAATATATAGCAAGATGCTTTGGGTACTAAAGTATAAACTCTTAACTCATCCTTGCTAAAGATTGTGATAACCACATTAATAAATAATTAAGTATTAGATATATGACTTATAATGTAAAATAGCTTGCATTAGAGATAGTTCGAGTGACGTTATTGAGATATGATAACTTATTAAATTACTCCCAACTCTACTATATCGAATTAATCATGTCCTATATAAGGCTATAATAAAGTTTATTTTAGACAATATCTTAGGCACTAGATGTTGAACTCTTACACAGTCATATGTAAATATTGTGATAATCAAATTGATAAGTAATTAAATATATGATTTATAATATTAAATAGCATGCATTTGAGATTGTTTCACTGATATTATATTGAAGATGAGATAACTCATGACAGGTTCCAAATCTAATATAGTCATTCTTTCCTTCCAAAAAAACTTGATATACAAAATTTAACCCGTATTTGTCTTTTCCATAAATTAAAAATACCAAAATTTTCACTTCTTTATCTTTTCATAAATCAAAAGCACCAAAGTTCTCCGTTGTTTCTTTTCCAAAAAATTGAAGCACCGAAAATTTCTCTTCTTTTCTCTTCCCAAAACGTTGAAAACATCAAATTTTCCCATTTATGTTAAAATATTCAAATAAATTGTTTTACTCTATCTATATTTAATTGATAATTGTTTTGAATAGTTAAACTAATGAGAATTTTTATGTATATATACTTTATAATGTTATACATTATCTTACTTATTCATTTTCAATATTGACATTGTGTTAATTTGATATTATTATTTATAATTTTTTTGAAGAACTTAATGTTGAAGTGAAGTTTATGTTCTACTTTTTTAATTTTATAAAAAATACATCATTTTAAGTGAATTTCATATGTGGACATTTATTTTATGAAATGTAAAAATGGCTTTACTTAGGTTTAGAACAAACACTTCATTTTGAAAGACTATAAATTGTATAATATAGCAATTATTTAGATCAGTCAGGCAAGTCATGGGTTATAGTCAGGTTCGGGTAGGGGTGGGACGGATACATTGAGCTTTAGGGGTGTACAGGAACACTCTAAAATTTGAAAAATTGATTATCCAACTCCTGATAGAGAGTTCCGATCTTTCATGTAGGTTGTGCTTTTCTTTTACATCTGCCTAGCTAGATTTTGTTGGCATACAAATGTCAACCAGACTCTGATACTAATTTGTTGTCTATATGAACCTTGGTGGTTTATGAGATTTGATAAAAGGAAGGGTCGACTTGGATTGGTTTATGATACGAATTTGTTGTTGCCGTTATACTACTTATGTAATTACTTAAAACTTTATGAAACAACGCACAAGGTAAATATTCATTACATAAACGAGTCATCCATTAAGTAAGGATCAGTTATGTAAAATAAGCATACATTATGCAATCATTACGTAATAATGCATATTGTATCTTACGAAATGCAACCTGTCCAACCTAGTATAACACATAAAAACAATCGAGTTACCTTATTACTTTCCTGGATTGTAGAATACCCAACAGTTCATGTCTATTCGTGTTCATTTCTCGCAAACCAACCATGAAGCAACATTAATATACGAGGAACATTTTTCGTGAATTAAAGTGAAAAGATGGAATGCATGCAGTTGCTAGGGTTACTGGGGCTTCTGAAGGGAATCACAACAAATGCAGTGGCGTCTGCATGTGCTCTGAAACTATATGGAGAAGGACAAATTACAATACTTAATAAAGATGCACCGGAAGACTTGATGCAATTTGCTGCCCATTTTGTAACCAACACTGATCAACAACAGAACTATTGCAACTTGGCTGATTTCCTGCCTTTCTACGAGGACCACCCTTTACAGGTACTACCATCCTTTCGTATTTCTACCAAGGATTAAAATACCGTATCGTACTAGTGGTTCGACCTGAAAAACCTCTTATTGGAGGCTAGATTGATAGGCGGTATTTAGCGGTATGAAGCGGTTGTACCACGGTTAAATCACGATATTAGCATAAAATACTCTACCGCTGACTTTTCCAGTACAACCTCCAGTACAATATTTCAATCTTTGATTTCTACTCTTTGCATTTCCTATCCCTATATTCTCATTTTTCAAGTAATAAATATTCTTGTTTTTTTTCTATATACTTACTGTTACTGAAAGAAGGGGGGAAAACACTGAATATATATAGTGATTGGCAATATGCAGCGAGCAGAGTGGATAAAATTCATCGGTGTTTTCGCAAACCTTGAGACAAGAGCCAACCAAGTTTATGACAGGGTGAGTCGTCTGTTAATTAAGAAGCTTAAGCTTCTTCTTCTTTCACGTACATGCGTTTTCTTTCTCTCTCAACATCATTAAAGATGCTTCATCTTCTTCATTTCTTGTTCTGGGTTTGGCAGATTAAAGAAAATTATTTGTGCTTAGCTGGAGCTGTAGCCAACCAGTCCAGACCGTTCAAGCCGGTGGTAGCCTGGCTCGCTTTCTACAACGTTAGTAAATATATATACCTAATGTCTTCCAAATGTCTAAAACTCATTGGCTGTGAATAAATGATTTCAAATAGATTGTTGATTAATTGGGAGACATTTATCCATTGAAGAATTTTAAATTTGAATTTAACTTTTCCTCTTTGTTGGTGACCCAGGACATTTGGTCCTTCACCCAGGATAAGTCCAAGTTGAAGGTAGGTACTCTACACTTGTAAAAGATCGAATAATTATATTGTCATCCTTTTTATTTTCATGTTATCAATATTTGCATTTGATTCTCTTATATACTTAATTAACGAATCGAGTCGAGCTGTCTTTAGCCCTGCCCCGTGCTCGTCTCGATAATAATAAAATAGTACTTAAACTAGACTTTGACACCAACTTTATACATTAGTGAGGCTAAAACTTGACTTTGTTTTTTTTTTTTCAAAATCGAAACTGGAGTTCGACTTGACAATGAGTTCAACGAACCAGATCGAGTTCAACTCATTACAACTCGGTTGTAGCTTAAGCCCGACCCCAAACTTAATTGGCTCGAATTTTGATTCTAACTACCGCATTTTTTGAGAGATAATAAAATAAATACCGCATTTATGCTGACCGTTGAGATGAAGATGGACGTTGGAGATTACTGGTGTACGACATACCTCAGTTTTTGGTGCATTCAAATTTAAAAGTGGCCATAATACTTGGAATTTTTTAAATTTAATTAGTAGCATTAGTCTAATATGATGATATAACATAGAATCACAACTAATCAATCCATTAACCTAACTCTTTAACCTTCAATTTTGAATCCCTACCCAAAACCCCAAATTCTAGACCTAAACCCTAACCCTAAATCTCTAAACCTCAAATCATTCAAATTAAAATAAATCTTGAACGATTTTTGTGCAAATTCATGTGTTTCTGTTCCATCATATCACAAGTAACGATTAACATCGTTTTCACATAAATCGCCTGCGAAAAACGACGATTATAAGACGAGTGTATTGAATGAACCCAAAAAAATGGATGCACCAAAGACGCCACCATATATATATCAACCGAGTAACTAATATCAAGCTACGTGCATGCACGCAGTACGTGGAAGATGCAGGTGGGGAGAACATAGATACCTCTATCAACAGAATCACTTACAATACCTCCAATCCAGATGACTTGGAGGCACTTCATGCTATCCTTTGTGTACGTTTACTTCACAGACGACACTTTGTTTTTGTTTTTGTTCTGTTTTGTTTTTGTCTAACAATTTAATCTCTATCAGACGGTGGATGTGGTGATTGATGAAACCGCAACTCTTGATCCCGCGGCATACACGGTGTCAAGCTTCCTTGAGAATGTGGGCGTCGAAGATCACTCTTGCTTTGCTTTCCTCACCAACCAAACCTTGTGGAGATACGATAAACGAGCCTACAATTCAACTCTTGGTAATATATTTATATAATTCGTTACATTGGATGTTGTTAATCTTGTACTCCATTGATTTGTTTAGTAGCTAATATATATAATTGCGTTGGTTGTTCTGGACATCGCTTCTTGACCAAATTTGCAATCAAGATTGGTACGATGGAGCAGTGTCGCAGCCTCAATTGGTTTTAGCAGATCTTATTCAAGCATTTTCCTCGCCCGGGAATGCTTCCACCACCTTCCTAAGGAACATTGCTAAGGTGTGTGCGCGATTTACGTACGTGTACATATATGTGTTTGAAAATGATTGCATCTTCCACAATGCCCATTTAGCTAAATGATCGATCATGTGGTTTGCCCTAATAACGCGCAGGGTGAAGGAGTTTTAAGCATAGACGGCAGCATGTGTGGCAGCCAAGATTTTTCAACTCCCATGGATCCAACCATCCTGCCCTGCCCATAACTAGCTCAATACTAATTGTTTTGATGGAATTCTTTTCAGGACTTTTTCATTTATTTATGGATGTGCTAGCTAACATAGCCACATCTTTTGATACTCATAAATTTAGTTAGATTAAGATTTTTTTTATAAGGATGATATAGTTTTATTAAAAGAAGAAAAGGGGAAAGGATTTGGAGATGACTGAGTAATATTTTGTTGTAGAAAATATGATTTTAAGTTATTTAAGAGACAAGTGTGTAAAATTGTCCCCATATAAGAAGAAAATAACTTTTAATTACTTAGGTGTCCCCAAAACTAGAAGTTTCCATAAAGAAGAAGATTTCATAGGATTCTATTTTATCGCCAAAGAGATTGCTTGATTTTTTTATATGAAGAATTTTTTTTAAATCTAGAATTATTTAACGAAGCCCGTAAGTTGGAAAAATGACGAATTTGTAATTACCTTTGTGCATGAGTCCAACCGAACCTTTGTGCATGAGATTTTTTAGATTTCCTTTTTCGTAGTTTGTGATTTAATCTTTTCAAACTATTATGTTTTCGAAATGAGAGTTACTATTTGTCGCCCTAGATTTTTAAATTTTATCGCCCTAATTAAAATATAGACAAAATTGCCCTAGCCCCAATTTTATCGTCGTAAGAATGCCGCCGGGTCACAAATAAATCAAAGACCGGATTTTTCTCCCGTCGCCGCTGCTACTTTGATGCTGCAAGCTTGATGGGAATGTTGATTTCCCTTCTGATACGGATTTCGTCATCATCACCAACCTCAAGCGCCTAGTTGGCGTTGGAAGGAGAAACCCACCTCTGTCGTCGCCTATAAAAGCATGTCAACCGCACATCATCGTGTCCAGCAACAATGGGGCATCTTAATGCTCAACTTTGCTTGTTATGCAGCAGATTTCACATTAAGGAAGAAGAGGGGATGAGGAAGAAGCGGTGGCTTGTTGCTGAGTTTGCAGGGCGGTCGCCTCTGTTTCTAGGATGGGGCGAAGGAACGGGAGAGGGAGAGAATTGAGCGGCAGCTCGCTTTAGGATTTAGGTTAAATTGAGGGTAAAATTGTCTCTTTGGTAAGTTTAGGGCGAAAAATTTAAATAATTAGGGCGTTAAATAGAAATTCAGTTTCGAAATTAATTGTCTAAACAATGCTCGCTAAAAATGGTTTCCCACCTTATTGTTCTTTCACCTTTGTACATGAGTGTCCCAACTAGATTTTCTGGTAGATGAGAGATGAATTGAACTCAAACGGCAAGCACATTAAATTAGCGAGATAGTAAGACTTCTCTAAAAAATGGGTTAATACAATATATTAGCCACAACTATTATGAAACGGGGAATTATAGCCACAACTATGAAGATTCAAATTATTAGCCATAACTATTATTGCAGGTCAAGATATGGCTAACTGTCCGTTACTGTTATTGAATTTTTGACGGAGAATCCCACGTCATCGGCCACGACAGCGGCCAAGTAGGAATGCTTTTAGTTTATAACTTCAAAACATAAAAGTTTAGTCAGTATTACTAACGAAATTGTTAACAGATAGTTAACGTTTGGCTAATAATTTGAATTTCAATAGTTGTGGCTAATATATTGTATTTACCCCTAAAAAATCTTTATTAGTTGTCCCTATAAGTTACATCAGCAGTGGATCTAGTACATAATGGAACACTGGCCGCATTTAATTAGAAAATTTGATACCGTAAAAAAAATCATAGTTTTTTATAGGCTAAATTGCAAGTTTGGTCATTAGAATTACTTCAAAATTTTACATTTGCCACTAAAATTAATTTATTTCATTCGTAGTCATTTAAATTGGGTTAACAGTTCAAGTTTGGTCACTGGCCGTTAATCTCCGTTAAATTTTGCTGATGTGGCAGTCAACTCTTATAGTCGACCGTTAAATGAGTGACGTGGCAATTAAAAAATAATAAACCTAATTCACCTAATTATTATAAAAATAAACCTAATTCCTTTAAAAATAAACCTAATTCACCAGCTAGACCGCCGCCGTTCCTATCCACCGTCGAATGAATCCGTCCATCATCCTCATCGCTTCCGGCAAGCTCTCAATGATCGATCCCTAACCGCAATGCGTAAAAAATCCTCCAAACGCCGGATGGTTTAAATTTGGCAAAATACACTTCTATATCCATAACTTTCACATTTGTGACAAATATATCCATAACTATCGAAATACACGATATACCCAGAAAATTGTACTATCGTGTGACAAATCTATCCATTTCCGTTACAAACTTTAACGCCGTTTGTTACGGCGTCAGTAAATGTAACGGAACAGTGAGTAGGACCATACCCATCTCCCACCTAAGCTCCAGGCCAGAAAATTTTTCCACGTGGACGCCATGTCATCAATTTGCCCCCCTTACAGTCGAGGACTGCCTTCCCACCCCCTGTTTCTCAAACTCGAATTAGGGTTCCTACCTTCTTTCTAATCGGCTGCGCTGGAGAAGAGGTTGCTGCCCGCCGCCGATCCAAGGGTTCCCTCCGACAGCAGCCCTCACCGCGCCCCTAGTCGCGTCCTTGGCGGCGCCTCCACCCCCTTTTTCTCAAACTCGAATTAGGGTTCCTAGAGAACCATTTTAATCGGCTGCGCTGGAGTAGAGCTTGTTGCCCGCCGCCAATCCAAGGGTTCCCTCCGACAGCAGCCCTCACCGCGTCCCTAGTCGCGTCCCTGGCGGCGCCTCCATGCTACAGATTTCACTTTTAGCGCTAAAGGGTTGGGTTGGAGATGTCAAAGCGAGTCTCTTCCTCTGCGACAAGCATCAGTGGTGATGGCCTCGTCCGCTGCAAGCACAACATTCCCGCCGTAGTCAAAATATCTGGTACCAATGATAACCCAGGCCGACGATTCTATGGATGTCCATATTGGAAGGTAAGGGTGAACGATCGTAACGATGAATGTTGTTGTTTGTGGGATTGTTTGTTAATTGGATGGTTGTCATTGGGCAGGATGTGAAGAAGAACTGTCGCTTTTTTAGGTGGGAGGAGATGAATGATGATGTTTGCGAGGTCCTAGACACGAATATGGAGAGGTTAATACTGCAGCTGGAAGAGAGTTTGAGCATTGCTGAGTCTAAGGCAGAGAGGAGGAAGAAGGAGAAGAAGAGGATAGTTGAAGAAGGAAGGAAAGTGAATGAAGATCTCCGTGCAATTCGGTTTATGTTAACTGTTATTGTTGTATTGAATGCCTTTGTTCTTTTTGTTGTGTGGAGCCATCAATTTGTGATTTAGAAGTAGTAGGGTTTAGATAAGTCGTCATGATGTTTGCTCTAGAATGGTTGAACAATATAACTGTAATGCTATCTTCAAGAACAATATAATTCCAGAATGTTGTTTAATGTCCAGAATGTTGGAAATGAAGTGGTAGTTGCAATGACTTTTCCTCAATAACCATTCCTGATTACTACAAAAGGAGTACTGCATATCCATTCACACAAAGTTAACTAGCCATTCCTGAATTACAATATGTTTTAACTTACAAAGCTTAACAAAGTGCCCCATTATAAAACATAACCATTCCTGGATTCTGGACATGTTTTAACTTACAAATCCTAACAAAGTGCCCCATTAGTTACATGAGTCGATTTCAAAGCTTCCTTTATGGAAGTCATTACATGGGGGCTGACAAAAGTAAATCGACTCAATATGCCAACTTCTAAGGTTGTGTGACAGGTGGTTGACTTCCTTGTACATCCACCACTGTTGGCTGACTTCCACCCACTGGACGACCATTTGCTCCGTTCATCTGGAAGAACAAATATGGAATCAACAACATACACAACAATTTAAAAGCAACAAATGACTATAAACCACTAGTCTTACCCTAACATATGTATTTCCAGTGGTCTCATTCACATACACACCGATTCCAGCTGTTGCAACTCGCATCTCGCGTGCAATTGTCCTTCGATCACCAACTTTTAACCTCACATGCTACATAATGCAGAAAAATCATAATCACATTCTTCACACTTCCTATTTGAAACTGGCTCTTTACAGGTCCGTGCATTATGCCCCTCAGCTCCACACTTGCTGCAGTGGATGACAGATCCCCTCCTCGACACTTCTTCACCAATTCCTTGAGCTTGAGGTCGAACCTCAAGCTCGTGAGCAGCTTTCCTCCGGTTCTTCTTTGGCCTTCCAGGCTGCGCCCTTTGCTTGGGAGGGAATACTGGATAACCAGTGGCTTCAGGCCATGCCTGTCTTCCATCAAAGCAAGGGATGCCAACCTTATAGCCCTCCCTCACATGATTCACATGATATGAGGGATGGACGTAGTCGTCCACATCCTTCCTCAGGTGTGTGATTGCCGAAACAGCGTGGCAACATGGCAAACCGCTCAGAGACCAATACCCACAAGTACATGTCTTTGTTTGGAGATCAACTATGTACCCTGAATTACCCATCTTCACCTCACACTTCAAATTCAAGGTTTGCTTAGATATGCACAACCTAGCGAGCTCCTTCTCTTTTTCTACCTTCTTTCTAATTCTCGGACACAACAAGTCAGTCGTAGCAGATAACATGTTAAACTTGATCACAACTCGATCCATCATGTAACCCCTAATCCCCTCGAGCATATCTATGATTCTTATTCCCCTATACTTAACAATTGTTCCATTCCAGGTTTCACAGATATTACTCTCCACTGAGTCACACTTAGGTAAATGAGATAAGAAGGATCGGCAGAAGTATCTAGGTTCTTGGTCCATGAAGTCTTTAAAAGGTGTGCTAAGTGGGTCATTACCTTTAATCTCCTCCAATTCAGCAGTTGCCTTCTTCCAATCAACTTCATTGCAGGCATAGACTGCCTTCCAGAATACTTTGCGGACCCGATCTGTCTTGTTTTTAGATTTCCAGTTTGCATACACATGCCTTGCACACTTCCTATGCTCCGCATCTGGCAACATGTCACGTAGAGCATCAACCAATCCCTAACACAAAAGATAATTGTATAGAGTTAGCAATTTAAAATGTGTATAGAGACAGATAATAGAGAACCATACACAATACCTTTTGTTGATCGGATATGACAGACCAGCCCCTTCCATCGTGTAAGTTCAGCTCCTGCGACAAGATGTTCACAAACCACCTCCATGAACAAGAATTTTCACCCTCAACAATTGCCCAAGCAATTGGGAACATTTGGTTGTTCCCATCCTTCCCTACAGCAGTAAGCAGCATCCCTTTCACCTCTCCCTTCAAAAAGCAGCCGTCCAAACCAAACATCGGGCGACAAGCTAAAAGAAATCCGTCTCGTAGGACTGAGAACCCAACATACAACCTCTGGAAGAATACCTTCTCCTGTGTAGGGTGCGGTTCAACCTCCAAAACAAATTTCCCATCTCCATCCCGCTTAAGCAATTCAGCAATATAACTCCTTATACCACGATACTCATCCACTAACGAACCACTTAACATTTTAACCGCTTCCACCTTAGCCCGGTAACATGTTCTCTTTTTCACCTCCATATTGTGCTTCAACTTTATTTCTGCCATAATCTGATCAGGACTCTACTCTGGATTGATTCTGAATCTGTCCAGCATATCATATGCAATCCACTTGGCCGTAACTTGATTGACACGTAGGTTGCGATTACAAGAGTGCAGCAATCCAACCTTTCTAACCATGAAGATGTGATTCCTCCTAAACCAGCTCGCATAAACCTTCCATTTGCACCTCTTATCCTTGCATACAACCTCTTTTCTGAGGGAATGATGGTAAAGAGCGCCGATCGGAATAGGTGATGGGATTCTTTTAGATAGATCGACAGTTGTTGAGGGAATGATGGTAAAGAGCACCTCGTCGACCGTCGTGGTCGGAGGGAAGAAAGGGAGATGAACGAGCGAGAGTTGGAGAAGAAAGTGAAAAAGTTAGGGTAGAGTGGTTTTCGGTGTTTTATTCTTCATTTTTTTTCCACGTGGATTAGTGGGGACGCTGACAACGCCAACTCAGCCTTCCCGTCAGTACAGTCACCCAGTTACTTCACGCTGTTAAATGGAAGATCGAAATTGGGTATTTCGTGTATTTCGATAGTTATGGATATATTTGTCACAAAGGTGAAAGTTATGGATATAGAAGTGTATTTTGCCTTTAAATTTCAAAAAACTTGTATTTAATATGGATTTTTAATTCCCAATGTAATTAATACAAAAGAATAATTATATTTTTTTTATAATCAAAATGACCTTGGTTGTTAATTTGACAACCATATCCCGTCCGTGGCTAGTGTATATATATAGTGGTGGGTGGTAAATGTTATGGGTTCGTTTGGATGAGTAATTGTAACGGATCAATTTGACACAATTGTCTCGTTTTGAGACAATTGTACCAAATTGCCTCGTTTGCCAGCAAAAAATTTTGATGGATCAATCTGCCTGAGATATTTTGAATTGATCCGTTTTGAGTCAATTTCAATTACCTGGGGTGAGGGCAGGTAATTCGAATTGACTCATTTTAATTGCCTCGCTTATAAAACGAGACAATTGATCAAATTGACTCATTTCTAGATTCATTCATCCAAACTAGTCGAATGTTACTTTTACATAGCATAGCCAGAGCCCAGAGGAAAGGTAGTGGGGAATTTTGCCACCACCATCATTTGTATGTACCCACGTGGAGTGATTTGGGGGGTTTAATTGGGTAGGGGGTTGGAGTAGCCAAGAGAGCTTTGTGAGGTGTTTGATAGGTTTTTATTCTCTTCCAATCTAATTTAGTGCAAGGACTGGTTGAGTGTCCAAAAACAAAATCACCCAACCAATCCATGAAGTGCAATAGTTGGTTGTAGAAAATCTATAAGATATATGATGGAGATTCATGACTCAACTTTTTTCCATTTCAAATTTTCTGCAACGAGAGTGAAAGTAGGAAGGGTACTTTCGTCATTGCAATTGTTTATTTTTTTATTTGAAAAAAATATCAGTGTCAAGATTTGAACCCGGGTCTCTTCTAACAAGGACAAGAGTCATAACCAATAAGACTAAACAAATTTGTTGCATTTATTTATAAAAAAAACATACAAGAGGCAAAATTCTGAAAATCAAATGACTTTTCCAGCATAGTTAGCTACCCCACTAAGTCTTTCTTAAGCATTTTTAGTGTTGGATCTTTGATTATCATTTATTATTATTTTATTTTGACTTCAATAATAATGGTAGTCTATCTTATAAATGGAGGATAATCTTAAAACCGCAATCCAAATATCATTTATTCGAATATTGCATATCAAATTACAATATTAAATATATATGTGCACACACAACCACATATATATGGGTCAGACTGGTGTACTCCTGGAGTATATTATACTTCAGGTACTCTTCGTGAGATATCTCTATCTAGACCATGATTTTTAACCGAGTTTGGGGTATGATACTCTACCCTAACCTCTAATGGATAAACCCCAGGCCCCGATTCTCTAAACTCAAACCCAAAGTTTAATTTAATGGAAAATTATAATTGACCATTGAGATTGATTGGAGCTCAACAAAGTACATCTAATGTCTAGATCATGTGGAGTATACTATACTCTTGGAGTATACCAGTATACTATACTCCTGTAGTATACCAGTATGTGTGTGTGTAGTGTTTTCTATCATATTTTGAGTAAAATCAAAAGGTAACTCATACCCTTGGTAAGAAATGGCAATCTAGACTTTGAATTAACCTGATTTCGAGACGAGACACTATATTCTAACCCTTGACGAGTGAAATCTAGGTCTTAACTATTTAAATCATAGATCCTAAACCAAGGATTATAAAACCTCATCAGAGGTTGTACCGAAAAAGTCGGCAGGAGGGTATTTTATGCGAAAACTGTGGTTAACCGTGATTCAGTCGTTTCACAACACTACATAGTGCCTACTGGTTTAGTCGAACCCCCGGTACGTTAAGGGTTTTCAATCCTTGCCCTAAACACTAAGATTATGCACATAATTTTTTTGATGTATTTTGATGAAACACGACCTTCGATTATTGTTTCTAATAAAATTGATCTTAGTATATGAGCTTCATAGAATTAAGACCTAGATTTTAATCTGTAAGGGCTTAAGGTATAGTACCATGTCCCTAGCTCCGGCCACTAGACATCATTTTCATACTCAGAGTATATCATTCAAGGTCTATATATCATTTCCTTATGTCATTTTCTTAATCAAAATATGATAGAACCACCAATACTTATAGTTGTGTTATCCTGCTGGAAAGTCATTTGTTCTAAATGTTAGTTGGTTGGACTGCAGTTTTATCAGGGTTGTATGTTGTTTGAAACATTTTGAACTTCATTAGTCCAATATTTTTAGTACTCCTATATTATTTAGGGATAATATCCTATTTTGTGTTGAACTTTGATGTAAATAACAATTTTGGCATGAACATTCAAATAAGATAGTTTTGTCCGAATTTGAAAGAAATTAACAAATTTGGTCGGTTATTAATATTGAGGGTCAAACATTTCTTTTTTTTTATGACTCAACATACAATGTTAAGGTGACTGTGGTGTGACTTTCACGTCATAGGTATAATATGCTATTTTGCCCTACACTTTCAAATAAGACAGTTTTGTACGAATTTTCAAAGAAATGAATAACTTTGACCCAAAATTTAGGTTGCCGTTAATATTGATGAGAGGGGTACAAAGAGAGATAGCTTCGTGCTTTGGGATTTTTGGGGGCCTGAATCAATTTCTTTTTCCTTTTAATATGATTTATGCAAGTAAATATGAAAATATTCGGATATACTAAGGGTCCTATTTTGTGGTCTTTTTTTCTTCTGAAAAATTCACTTTTTTAGACTTTATAAATAAATGACTTGGAAGCCACATCGCAACTGAAACCTCTCTATCACAACTGTCAATATTAAAGGTCAAC